AAAAAAAAAAAAAAAAAAAAAAAAAAAAAAAAAAAAAAAAAAACTTTTGTTTCCTGGCCTTTACGTGGCTGACATAGTCAATTTCATTCTACTTTGAAATATTTTGAATTTTAAAAAATTTAAGGGAGAAAATACCTCTGTGCTGAGTGAGAAGGCCTATTTTGTCACTAAGATGCACAGAAAAGGTATTGGTGGGATTCCCATGTATAGGTTAGTGTAACACGAACTACGTTTGTTCTAAGAATCTCATTTACAAGTTGCTATCAGCTAAGCCCCACTGTTTTTGCCATCTCAAGTGAATCGATGCCCTTCGTAAGTCTGCTCTAGGCTGTCCTCCCATCCTTTCCAGCCATGCCAAGAGGCAATCTAGTGCTGTTGAAGAAACACTGAATTCAGAGTCAGTTAAAGGCAGTCTTGCCATTAAATGGCTGTACACAGATACCCTAATCTCTCTGAGCCTTGATTTCCTCATCTGTAAAATGGACTGAAGAAGGTATAGGTAAAATTATATTGTAAGCTGTAAGGTTCCAGGAAAATGCCAAGAATTCTCATGATTGTAATAATAGACCTAAAAGTATTGATTGATTCTCTGAAAGGCAATGGATTTTGCCTCCCATTTTTGTGGTTTAGTAACTTCTTTTTGGTGGGTTGACGGTGACTAACGTATACAAAGAGAACAATGTGAAAATCTCCCGGAGTTGAAAGGAGTAAGAATGGATGGCGTCTTACAATCAAACTGAAAACACAGGGCTGAGTGCAGTAATCACAGGGTAAACGCAGGGCTCACACCTGTAATCCCTGCACTTTGGGAGGCCGAAGCAGGTGGGTCACTTAAGGTCAGGAGTTCAGGACCAGCCTGGCCAACATGAAACTCCATCTCTACTAAAAATACAAAAATTAGCTGGGCATGGTGGCACGTGCCTGTAATCCGAGCTACTAGGGAGGCTGAGACAGAAGAATCGCTTGAACCCAGGAGGCAGAGGTTGCAATGAGCCAAGATCGCATCACTGCACTCCGGCCTGGGTGACACAGGGAGACTCCATTTCAAAAAAAAAAAAAAAAACTTAAAACACAGAATCTGAGCACCCATTGAGGAGACTTTGACATTTAACCTAACCCTAACCTAATGCAAGAATCTTCCCAATATCATCCAGAAGCTTCTGCTTGCACGCTCCCAGGATATGGAGCTCATCACTTTGCAATTCAGCCTGTCCCATTACTAGACTGCTTTGATGGTTAGGAAAATCTTACTTTGTTCTGAAGTCATCTGTAGCCAGCTTGGCATTGTCGATCTGCACCACCAGCCTGGCATTCTCAGACTTGCTACACAGGATCTGGGGATAGGATTGATCATGAAATGGGTTATACTAAGAAATGCCTTGTGCCCTAAAGTGAAATGCTGTTTTCTTTCAGCCACATTCCTCCAAATAGCTTTGAGGCCTTTCAGATTTTCAGCTCTGGGATAAAAGGAGCTGATCATAAAACTGACCATTTCAAAACCAGGACAGCCAATGTGAATTCATCATGAATTCTTATCTGTTTCTGGCTTCCTGCAATATTTGAGGTTACTACTGGGTATCCAACCCTCATGTTGCATGACCAAACATCCCAGTTTTCTTAGGACTGAGGGTTTCTTAGGATGCTAAAATGGGAAGAATCCCAGGCAAACCAGAACAAGGCACTTATCCAACACTCGTACCACCTCTGTTCCACCTGTTGACTTCTCTCCACTCTCCCCTCACATTGTCCATGTTCATGTCTTTGCAAAAAGCTTCTTGTTCTACCCAGAACACCCTCACCCACTAGCAAGACCTCAGTACCTGTATAACCCACATACTCACTCATACTTTTTGCCTTTGCAAAAAGTTTCTTGCTCCACCCAGAATGCCCTCACCCACTAGCAAGACCTCAGTATGTGTTTAACCCACATACTTATTCAATAACGCTTCTCATGACCTTTGTGTGATCATTTCGTTTCCACATCTGACTCCCCTGCTAGACTGTGAGCTCCTGAAGGAAAGAGACCGTCTTACTCAGTGCTTTATCCCCCACCCCAGCACTGTGACTAATACTCTTCAACTCTGGGTAAATAAATGAATGATATTCAAATAGCACAATCCCTTTCTGGCATCTGCTTTTCCAGATCTACAGAACAGTGGTTAGTCAATTTCCTCCAAGAATCAAGGGCTTATACGATTGGATATAAACTTCCACTCATCCTTCAAACCCCGTTCAGATATTGCCTCTTCCAGGATTCCCTCCCAAACCTACACCAGGTATTCCATCCCAATTCTCTGTGGGCTCTTTACTTCTCTCCACTTCTCCTCCAGACTATATGGCCCCAAATTGTCATCTGTATACATGGATGCTCTAGAGGATGGTCCATGTGTCTGCAGATACTTTTGGAGTCAACGACTGTCTTGTGTTGTTATAAATGCTATCTTTTGCTAAAGCTTTGAAAGGCTTTAAATATTTGAAGATTTACTTCGAAAATTCTTAGAATAGAAAATAATTCAGGTGCATACTTTGTAAAATTGTTATAATGCTCTGAAAACAAAACCAGGCCGGGCGCGGTGGCTCAAGCCTGTAATCCCAGCACTGTGGGAGGCCGAGGCGGGTGGATCACGAGGTCAAGAGATCGAGACCATCCTGGTCAACATGGTGAAACCCCGTCTCTACTAAAACTACAAAAAATTAGCTGGGCATGGTGGCGTGTGCCTGTAATCCCAGCTACTCAGGAGGCTGAGGCAGGAGAATTGCCGGAACCCAGGAGGCGGAGGTTGCGGTGAGCCGAGATCGTGCCATTGCACTCCAGCCTGGGTAACA